TGAATGTCAATTCTCCTGTGACTCCAGTGAAGACAGGTGGCTCAAACGAAAAGGACATGCACCAACCAATTAAAACAACTATTACTAATTCATTTAAGTCTTTTTAACACGGTAAAAAGTATGTACAAAAAAATATTAAATTTTATAATAAAATTTTGTTAAGATTTTAATAAATTGTTAATTTTATTATATTTAGTAAACATTTAAAATAAAAAATTATTAAAAGAATCTGACATAAAAAATTATTAAAAAAAAAATTTCCTTTCAAAAAATAAAAAAAATCTTTATAAGTTATTAATTGTGTTTAAAAAATAAAAGTTAAAAACGACTTTTATCTTTACAAAATCTTTAAAAATAATATTTCTTAAAAAAAAAGTTAACCAAACACTTCAAGGTTTTCACATTAGAGTTTTAGATTGTTTTTGAGATTGCCTTGGAATGCTATAATTGTGGTTTTTTTAATATTTTACTGTAAGAAAATCGGATTTAATTCGTTTTTTATCCCTCAATTCAAGTGTTTTGCATTAATTTTATCCTTCAACTTTATTTTATACTTCGCTAATTCCTTAATTATAAATTTTTGCATCAAACATGTCCCTCTTTCAACTCCCATCCAACTCCACTTGTTAAATTAACGGGTAACCTAGTCTCTTTATAAGATAGCAATTACACCTAAAAAAGTTAAAGGTAGATAAATTTTACCCCACCTTATTACTTTCTTGTTTAAAGGGCTTGTTTTAATTTGTACGAATCACTGTAAAGTACAAGGAAAAAAGGGGAAAAAATAAAATAAAATCCCCGATATCTATATTTTTTATTTTTTTGTGGATCTTAAATTTTGAAAGAAATTGTTTAAATTTTTTTTAGATCTTTTATTTGTGTAATGTATATCTTGTGGAACTCCAATTGCCGTAATTCGAAGAATTCATTAGTCATTACTGCCTTATTGGGCTTGTGGATGAAATTGAGGTTGAAGAGTTGGGTTGGATCCAGACACGGCGCTTTCTACAAGCCTTAAGGGGAATAGCCCAACCCATTAGCTATGGACCTTATCTATCTTTAACGCACCTAAACGAAAAGCAGAAAAATAGTAAGGCCTTTTTCTTTTATCAATACATTTTTACTTTTTCTTTTGGCTGAAAAGAGAAATGGTAAGGTTAAAAGTGTGAAAACAATAATAAGAAGTAGAGATTACTCATATTTTCGGTGAATATATTAAGGGCCTTTCTGATGTTTACAATAGTTAGAATTAGACCCTCCTTTCACCTTATAATCCAAATATCAGTATTGGTAGTTATGGTTAAATTAATATTAATTTTTATATTTTTATATAAGTAAATATTAAAAAAATACCTTAATTACAATTTGATCACACAAATAAAAAAATTCTTTACAGAAAGACATCATTATAAAGTTTGAAAAAACAATAAACATCCTTGACGACTTAGTCTAAAGTTTTAAAAAATAAAAATACCATTAATAAATTACTTTCTCTATTTATTTTTAATAAATCTAATATGATTTTTTGATTTTTTTGATATTTTATATATGAATTTTAAATAAAAATTTAACATATTATATAAATGATAATT